ATTTGCTTTTTATTAAGTGTTCGAAATAAATTATCAATCAAAAAAAAAAGTGCCTTGAAATGACATTTGTTGTTAATTGGTGCTATATAAATAAACCGAATTGAATTGAATTAATTGAAACAACAACATGTTTTGCTTGTTTACTTTTCTGTCGATGGATCTTGAACTAATTTCAACACACTTTGCAGCCACACCTCAGTGAACACTGTTGCCTGTTTGGCCAACAAAAAATTTCTGGCTCAGTCAGAAGTTCGACAAGGAACAAAGTCAGAGAACTCTCACTGCCAAAAAATACTTTTTCATGACTTAGACATTAGCTAAAATAAGAACAGCTACAGATTGGCTGCTAAAAAAGCCACTCAGTCGAGCAGAAATGATTGAACTCTTCCTAACGTTACCGTTGATCAGAGAAAATGGGTGGCGTAGTCAGAACAGGGGCTTCCTGATGATGGTGAGCAGAATCCGGTAAGATATAAAATATCCTAATGAACTGATGATAGAGGCCCTTTAAAGACGATATTTATCCACAAATTACTGATTAATGCATCTTTGGTCAAATATGTTCCAGAAATGAGCGGAAACATTTCATTCAGTGACAGTAAACATCCTGCAATGCAGTTACCATCTTGAAACCATGTTGTCATCCATGGACTTTAAATGCAGCAGTTTGCAAACTCTTATTTTTCTCTAATCCATTCAAAGTATTGTATTTTTGCGGGAGGGGTCGCCGGTATGTTTTAAGGTTGTTAGGTTGCTACAACAGCAGCCAAACAGTTCAGAGTAGAAGTAGTAAAACAGCACAGAGCGTCACACAGATTTCTACGAGTCCAGCTTTGCTGAGACTGACGATAATTTGAAAGTCTTGCGGAGCCAACATCAGCAAACGTGTGCGGCGTTTGTTAATGAAGCGTTTCCACGTGCAAACAGAGCTCGCAATGAATCAGTAGCTGGCTGCCCCTTCCAACGGTGAGTCATTTGGGTCGCCAACGATAAACGCTGAGAATGACAAGAAACAGGTGGGGAACTGGAGCGCAGCTGTGGATCTGAATTTCAGATGTGACATTTCACCTTTAATCTAAACGTATTTCTATAATCTATAAATAATCTGCAACTGGCCCATTAGAACTTTAGCCAACTCTTACTTACAGTAAGTATGCTTTTCTTTGGTCCATATATTTATAGATTGCAGAATAATT